GAGTCATTGTCAAATAACCGGGTAGCGGGAATGTCTAAATGACGCTGGCCGCCACGTATCTTCCACTGAACATCGATAGTTTGCGAAGCGTTCATGTGGACTTTATTGCTACGCAAACCTTCGCATCGTTCCCTCTCTCCCCTCGAAACGTTCAAGCCCATCTATCCTGTAAGTCGGATGTGGGCTTCTATCGGAAAGGTCTAGGATCGGCCGGACTCAAAACAGAGCAATTGCTCTACTCTGCCTTGTGGAGAGCAGCTCTTTAGGAGAACTGCTCCCTTGCTGTTCATGGGAGAATTCCAGCTGCGCTCTCGAGATCTTGCCATATCAGAGATTGCCCTTTGTCATGATTTCCGATCCTTAACATTCTTGGTATATCATCTTTCCAGCCCGCCTCCACGGTAAGCCTTGTGTCCTCACCTCCCCGAGGAGCTTCGCCAGCGTGCCAAAAATCACAACACACTATTCGGTGTATCCAAGAGACAAAGATCCGCGATGGAAGGGTGAGTGCTCGAAAGAGATAACTTAAGATCCTAAGAGGGGGATGAACCAGCTCGGATCCGGGGTACGGCGTTCGATTTTCGGCAGGAAGATCTAAAACTATTCCATTTATCTCAGACGTCGATATGGAAAGGGTCTCGGACGACGTAGATGTTGTCATCGTCGGAGGAGGACCCGCGGGCATGTCCGCGGCGATCCGCCTAAAACAGGTTAGCTATAAAAGCTATAAAACTCTATACGGTGTCCCTCGATTTGATCGCTGGCTGTCTCTTCCCAACCAGCGTTTGTCCGTGACCTAATGCTTCCTCATTATCCTCATCCCAGAATGCGGAAAAATCCGGGAAGGAACTCCGGGTCTGCGTCATTGAGAAGGCATCTCAGGTCGGTGGTCACACTTTGTCCGGCGCGTGCATCGAACCTGGCCCTCTTGCAGAACTGTTCCCAAACTGGAAGGAACTGGGTGTGAGTATCAATTCTTACTTTCACGTCTGAATAACTTGAGCGAAAAAGCCATTCCTCAGCAATGAAGGAAGCTACCTTGTGAAACGTCATGCGGAAGCCTTCCTTGACGCTCAGGCTGCTCGGTTTCGGGACTCGATTATTGGCTCACGTTCGTCGAATTTTTCGCTCTCGATGGCTATAGGCACCTCTCAAGACCGAGGTGAAGGAGGACCTCTTCTATATCCTGCGCAACGAGACCTCCAAAATCCGCATCCCCATCGTCCCCGGGCTCCCGATGAACAATCACGGGAATTATATCGTGCGTTTAGGGAACGTCGTCTCATGGTTAGGCGAGCAGGCTGAGCAACTCGGAGTGGAGATCTACTCCGGAATCCCAGCGTCCGAAGTTCTCTACGATGAACAAGGTCAAGTCAGAGGTGTCGCCACCGGTGACGTCGGTGTGGCCAAGGATGGCTCCCCAAAAGTGAGTTTAACTGGTGGATCCGCGTTTCCGCAACGCTCCGATTGGTTTTCCGTAAAATCATAGATCTGCTATTTTTTTTCCCAGGTATAATTTTGAGCGAGGTATGGAACTGAACGCTCGATGCACGATCATCGCCGAGGGCTGCCACGGCCATCTTTCGAAACAGCTCTACCAAAAGTTCAATCTTAGAGAGAACTGCGAGCCTCAAACATACGGAATCGGTCTGAAAGAGCTCTGGGAGGTCGATCCCAAGAACCATCATCCTGGTCGCGTGGTAAGTTCGCCGCATCAGGCTTCATGAAATATGGTGTCAAACCGCTTCTCGAATCCAATATGCGAATTTCAAGTCCTCATGTTGTAATTCAGGTTCATTCGGTCGGCTGGCCTTTGGATAAGCTGACTTACGGCGGAGCTTTCATGTATCATCTGGATGAGGGACCGCTGGTCGCCCTTGGACTGGTCGTCGGTCTCGACTACACCAATACTTACCTTTCGCCTTACCGGTGAGTTTGGGGACGATGATTGTTCTTCGTCCGTATGGAAGGCTCCGCATGAATGTTCCCATAAGAGCGCTCCGATCTTCATTCCCAGGGAGTTCCAACGGATGAAGCATCACCCAGTTTTCGCCAACACGCTCAAGGGTGGATCCAGGATCGCGTATGGTGCGCGTGCACTCAATGAAGGTGGCCTTCAGTGCATTCCGAAACTGCACTTCCCTGGAGGTTGCCTGATCGGCTGCGCGCCGGGTTTCATGAACGTCCCGAAAATCAAGGTAACTCGAAGACAGTCCGATGCGAAGCTTTGGTTTCTCAAGTTGTTTTCGAATTCTCTAATCGATCGGGCTTCCCAGGGAACGCACAATGCGATGAACAGTGGCATCATTGCGGCTGACGCGATTTCGGAGAAACTCGCTGCTCAACACGAAGGCGTGATCACCCCGGACAACTATGAGGCAAATCTGAAGACTAGTTCGGTGTACAAGGAGCTCAAATCTGTGAGAAATATCCGGCCGTCTTTCCACAATCGTCTTGGCCTATACGGCGGAATGATCTATACGGGCGTCTTCTATCTGTTCGGTCGTGGGAAAGAACCCTGGACTCTGAAGCATGGAGGTAAGTCGGACTCCGTCGATCGTAGAGCTTCCGTGAAGATCACCCCCATCTACGATGTTCCGAGGCCATGGGTTTTAGGACCGTGGAAAACAATCTCGCTCTTCAGTCGAATCACATCATTACATCCTTCGCAGGCAAAAGATTCAGACCGACTGAAGCCCGCTTCGGAATGTAAAAGTCATCGAATACCCGAAGCCGGACAATGTCCTCTCATTCGACCTCCTTTCGTCGGTGTCGCTCACGGGAACTTATCACGAGGACAACCAGCCTCCGCACTTGACGCTGAAAGACGATTCCATCCCGGTCGGACGAAATCTCAAGACTTACGATGGTCCTGAGCAACGATTCTGTCCGCCGGGCGTCTACGAGTACGTGCCCAAGGAAGACGGGGAGATGCGACTGCAGATCAACGCACAGAACTGCATCCATTGCAAGACCTGTGACATCAAGGACCCTTCGCAGAACATAAACTGGGTGACTCCGGAGGGGCCTGGAGGTCCAGCGTACTCCGGGATGTGATTTCCGTAGCGGGCGAATTTTCGTAATGCAATACATTTTCTGATGTTGTTGACAGTTGATGGTGAGAATTTTAAAGGACGCTCCTGTTCAGAGAGGAATCAGGGAAGGACGAGATTGTTGTACAATTCAATTTTCAAGCGAGAATAAAAATAGTTTCCATGTTATGTGCTTGTCAGTTCCTGTCCGTGAACCTTGGTCTCGAGGAGCCAGAACCGGGGAGGACTCGAAAGTTCTATTCACACGAGCATTTCGCGGCGAAGTTTTCGCCGCGTTCGACTCTTCTAGCTCGCAACTTCATTTGTCAGAGGCCGGGAGGGAAGACGCGTGGAGACAGGGAGCAGGTGTATATTTTTACAGTACGCTTTGTATAAATAGTTACAACAGAGCAATCGCTTTGGGTTTCCAATGACTCCACGGTGGAACATTCAATGATGTCAGACGAGAAAATTGTTCGCTACACTCCAACCATTCTGATTTCCACCCCGTCTTCTACGAATGAAATTAGGCGTCATCCATCTTATTGGAGCTTGATTTCCATTCAGAGTTCCACGCATCATGATTGTAGCCATTCGATCATACGCCATCGTCACGTCGAGGAACAGACGTTCAGACGTTCAAACGGTTTTCCTTGCCGTCATTACTCTGATGATCGAACCAAGCCCCCCGTGAGCAAATGCTTTCTCGTGCCAGGCGAGCAAGTGTCCCGAAGATCCTTCGCTGGGCGACTCGAAGCCGCGATAAATGTATTTCATGAGGGTGTCCACCAGTTCCGGTTCCAAAGATTGCACCAGAGCATCCATTTCCGAGGTTCGGATCGCCAACATGCACTTCATTGCGAGAGCAAAGGCTTTGTCCTGTAGGGAGAGCAAAGTCGTTCGAAGATGAGCCTCAGAGAAGATGCGCCTCAGCCTAATGAAGTGTCCCCGCAGAGCACTGTCGTCTCATTATGAAGCAAACCGTCTGCTTACGAACCTTGACATCGAATCCTTTGGCGTTGATGGGTGCGTTCCGGAGCACGACCTTAAGTGCCTCTTCCGCCTTTGACGTGTTAGGAGAAAAGTTATAGTTAAGGTAACTTGTGCGTCATAAATGATTCCGTACCTAAGTCGATTCGACATGGTCTTGATTCAACGTTCGAAGGTAGACCAAATGCCAATGTGACAGAGGGAGATGAATTGAGAGAGTCCGGTGTCGCTCCGGAGAGAAAATCCTTGCAGAGCTATCTTTGCGACACGGAATTTCCGGGAGCTACCCAAAACGATCAGAAAAAGAAAGGCGCTCCCAATGAACCGGATAAATCCCTTATTCGGTAGATGACGGGATGACTAAGAGATCAAGTGCTCCTCGGCATGCCGATGGAGAGAAAAGAATGAAACCTGGGATCGAATGAGAAACTAATCTGGAGCCTGCAAGATGTACATTTTTGTTAGCGTTCGGCGTGCTCGTGTCACGCAGGGTAAAAGGATATCCATTGAGCAGAGCGTTCACTTCAGCTTCATCGGGTCCTTGATGGGCGATTTCGGCCGATTCACCGCCACTCTCTTCCACGTAAAGATCGTCGTTGTACTGATCGATGTCCAACTTCCGAAATGTGGAAGACAGGGTATTCTTCGCCATTTCGAACACTTCAAAGCTAGAACCAGAGTCGGGAGCACTTTCGGTGGCAGCCGAAATATCCAAATCTGGAATTCGATCAAGTGTGGTAGAAGAGACCGTATTACTGTCAGCAGCAGTGGGTGCTGACAGTTAGATGGAGAACGCTTACCCACAGAGTCCTGCGGTGCGTGAAAGGGTGCCGCGGTCAGCTGTCCGGAGCGCTCACTCGATCGCAGAGCGTCGACCGGGATTATTTCGAAGAAAATTTTCTGGGAAGTTAGTGTCTTGCTTGATGTTCTTGAATTCCGCGAGGAAAGGGATCCGCGAGACTATGGAAGACCTCGACACCCGAGTACTCGGACTCGGAGCGGCGGATCTGCTGTCTCTTTCTCAGATCCACCTTTACTTACGGAGTCGTTCTGTTTTTAGTCGACAGCATTGTCACTAGGAGCGGATCTGTGCCTGTTTGCCGCTTCTTCCGTACCATTGGAATTCATAGAATCTTCTCACCGCGGATCAACCGATTTTCGAGTCGAAATTGAGCAGGTGAAGGCCTTCGATCGCCTGAGTCTATTTCCGGAGCAGGGCGATGGCTCGAGTCTCGCCTGGATATCAAATACTCCGATCGTCGACAGACGCAGATCGCGGATCTACTCCAAGAGGGGGCACTCTCAAATTTAGAACGTTGTCGTCTCCTCTCAGTGTGTGTACACTAGAGTGCTGCTTCAGAGCGGAGCGGAGGAGAGGAGAGCTCTCATCAGACAGAGCTTTCGTAACCAGCTGCCTCTTAGGTCGGCTAGAATGGGCTTCGGGAAGACAACGCATGCCATCGTTTGCAGAGTGCCAGAGAGTTACTGCAAACTCACCAGTATAGTGACAGGGACCACGAGCACCGAAAAGGTACGGCAAACGTTCGATTGTACTTCGAGCTAAAGTTTCGGGTGTTCTTCCCGACCTGTCAAAGCTCTGAGCGCGCGCTCGTCGAAGGAGAGCGGATTCTCTAGCTCACGCAGTCTTCTCTATTAAAAATCAGGAAGTGATGAACATCTTAGAAATTTTCTAGAGTTAGCTCCTGCGAGTATTTATTATCTATCTGCGGCCTTGAACGATATTACAATGAAATAACAGGTGTTCGACTCGCTTCTTCGGAGACGGAGTATCCGCTCCATGCATATCGTAGAGTCCTCCGAAACGGCGAGCGATTGCGTGAACGTCTGAAGAAATGGGCCATAGATCACATACCGACGTGACTTTGCCTACACTCGGCGATCGCTTGTTGTTGCTTGTGGTTTGTGCGCGAATCCGACTCATGCCATTGTTTTTCTTTCCGTGACTCCGCAATAAGCGCCGCTCCAGCGGTGCCAGTAAAGAGGCCTCTCGTATTCGCCGCTAGATGGTTCAACTGAAATCACAATAAACGTGCAAATATCCGGACGTCAAGGTGGTCTTGGCGTGAATGAGTGCTCCTTCACAGTATGCGGAACTCATTGTTGCTCGATCCAGCCGTGGTAGACGTACGAGTCCGCCGCATGTGGCGAACAATCCGTCATGTCCGTATCTTCAAACGGCATTAATCTTGGCGGCTCGAAGCATTGTCTCAGCCACACTGCGGGTGCTGCGAGTGCGACCGGAGAGCTCCGGGTAAAACACATTTTGCGAGGCTGACTCCTTTGAGTCCTCTCGGAATGAATCATCAGCTGAGAATTCGGAATTATAGTTCGCAGAATGCTCCAGGGACGTGCTTTTGTGACTGTCGGCTCCCAGACAGGCATGGAACTATATTTTTTAGAGCTGCGAAATCGAGGTGGACGCGTCTCCCCGCCCCCCTGCCGTAAGCTCTGTGCAAACAGACTCCGGCTCCCAAATCCCTCGTCCGAGGTTCGCGACGTTTCAAATTACTGTCCTCTCCCTCTTGTTCCCCGGTGTGTACCTCGGAATAAGAGGTGCTTATCCAGGCTAGGGGCATCTCCCTGTTCTGTTCTGAATTCTGAAACCTCGGAATTCCCATTGGAGCCGAATCCAGCGGGCTTTGTTTGGTGGAACGTTCTATCGAAATTCCGGCTGATGATTTGGTCGAGTAACTGAGATAATTCCGTCATGGACGGTCAGATCGAATTTCGTATTCGACTCGCCAACTAGGAACTCCCTGTCTGCCTCCTTGCGACTTCGTCCGGAATCATTAACGGTTGTTTCCTCATTTCACCTCAGGGTTTCTTAGACGGGAAGGAGTTTTCTCATTTCACTCAGGCGGACGACCTCAAAATTACAGGCGAAACGTGAACACCACGCATACTGCGAAGTCCTTCGCAGTCTCGATATCGATGTCGTCGAATTGCCTTCGGACGAACTATCCCCGGAATGCCCTTTCGTGAACGATTTGGCGGTCGTAGCCAATGGGACAGCTCTCATCTGCAAACCTTCATCTCCACAGCGACTCAAAGAGGTTAGACGAGATGGAAAGCACAGCTCAATCGATAGCCCTGCTTCGAAAGAAGACCGGCGATGTGGGTGCGGGGCCCGTTTTCAGTGAGATCCAAACATAAATTGTTCAGGTTGTCAGCTCGCTGACGTTGTTGGCTCGCAGATGTCGAAAATGATTGACAAGTGCTACTTATCGTCGCCGTTCTTGAGGAGGCTCAATCTCGAACATCTGAAGCTCATCGATTACCGAGTTATTTTTACGAGCAGTTTCCACGCGAAGCATCGCGGAAGGTTCGCTTAGTTTTTCAATCGATCGCGGAAACCGCGCAGTTGTTGGATGAAATTCTCTGAGGGGAGTGGGCCTCTCTACGAAACGATCAGATCGGGAAGGATATCGGAATTTCGCTTCTGGCCTATACCATCCGCTGCTTGGATGGATCCCTCGGCAAATATCCGAAACAGAGATATCCGGGCATGAATAATCCTCTGTGAATCATCGGGAGCAGCTCTGTGAAGCACGAGCTCGATCTCTCACACGAGCAAGAGCCAGTTCTCTCACACGGGGTTTCGGAATGCGGCAAAAAAGATCCATCCAGGAATTCCCTTGAAGAGGTCGAATTCTAGGAAATCGGGTGCGATGCATGTGAGTGTAGATGGGGAGAATAAATCGCATGTTTCCATTCGGTGAGCGCAAACCACCTGCGGGGCTTGCCTCATCTCTTTGGATTCCCTCTACGCCACTAAATAATGATAGCGTGCGTGCTCTCCAATGCGTGCGGGGAACAGTTTGCCACTCCGGCTGCTCAGGTCTCGCCAGGGGAAAACATGCGATTCTCAAGCTTGAGAATCTCCGCAGGTGGAGCTGATCCGGAAAACAATTCAGAGGGAAATAGGAATTCCCATGGTGGAAATTTCGGACCCTTCAGCCATTATAGAGGGGGGCGACGTTCTCTTCACCGGAGAAGAATTTTTCGTCGGACTGTCGCCCCGAACAAATGAAGCTGGGGCCCGAGCCTTGGCAGCTGCCTTCCCTGAGTTCCCGACTACAGCGGTCAGAGTAAGTTCATCAGCCCAGGACTCGCTTTGCGAGGTTTCTTTCTCAAGATTTTTCTCGCTGAAATCGCACGATGCCTCTTTCGTGCCTCCTCGTCAGGTCTTTGAGCAAAGGAAAAAATCGAAACCCGGTATTGGGCCCTTCCTTTGCCATCGCTATATGCGAAGCGAGTATTTTTGATTCTTATATGATTATAATGATCGTGGAACAATCAACTGCAGCTGGTGTGTCAAGGTCCATTGAAGAGCGTACTGACGATGGCTGGTCCCGGCATAATTTGCGTTTCGAAATCGAATGAGGCACAAGTTATGAAGAAGGTGGGTTCAGAGTGAAGCTCGACCCGGGAGCGAATATCCTCGTCCATCCCAATGACTGCTCATGCTAATATTTCAATTAATTCGTTGTGCGCAGGAGATCGAACGTGAGGCAACGTTCCAGTATCAGACAGTCACAGTTCAGGACGACAAGGCGTCCAATTGTGTCTTTGCAAACAAGACCCTCATCCACAGGTCAATATTCGATTCCACTTCCCCTGGAAATGGGGACCAAATCCATATGAACATCATTTCCATACGAATATCATTTCCATACGAACTTCATGAGGCTGTCGCGCTCTCGATTAGGAACCATTCGCTCACCTCCTGAAAACATTCATTCCAGGAGCGAGTTCAATGCGAGCAACCAAGAGTTCGCCCGAAAAATTGACTATCCACGGATCGTTCTCCCGCTCACGCACCTCTCGGCCGTCAATGTCGGTCTGACCAGTTTAGCTATACTCATCGACAAACCGAAGTGCTTTTGAAGAGGTCCCGGATCTGTTCGAGTCCGGTCGTCCAAGATTCCGCATTGTACTTGATCGCACGAGGATGATCGGGGTCTTCTGAGATGTATTGAAGCGAGCCGCGACGGACGGGCTCACTTCGGGAGCTTGAACTCGAGTCGCTACGCTCGGTAATTCTCGATTCGGTAGTGACATTTGGGGACTGGAATCGCGAAATTTCCAAATCGACTCTACCCTTCCTTCATGACTGAGAAGGACATCGAGCTGCGTTGAAAGACATCGAAATGGACGAACAAATCACCAGGAGCTCGGAATGTGTGAAGCGAGCTACGAGGTACTCTGGTTGGTGAAAGGGTCGCTTTTTCCGGTCTGATCTCATCCTCTCGCTGGGCTGAGAGTTCATCCCCCTTCTGCAAACTTACTTCGGGGGGCGTCGGATTCGACAGCGGAACGCTTCCCAGCAGCCCTGACACATTATGGGCATTGGTCCCTGTTGAGCCTCCGTGTACTATTTCGAGCTTTCATTCCCCCGTGCCTAGTCGTTGGAGACTTCTGATAAGATTGGAGTCGGCTCTGCAACGCCGGCGAGCCGGTCGGCGTTTTTGCGGTTGTTGGTTTTTCCTACGATACAAGAGAGAATCAAATATAACTTTTTTAAAAAGAAGAGCAATGTCGGAAATCCACGCCGGTCCTTACGGTCGAGCCCTCGCCTCTAGGACGAGAAATCATTGTCGGAGCGATGAGGTGTACGATTCTTCGAGATCATGTGAACAAATGAAGGTATATGTATGTGTCGGTCTGCAGGGAATTCGCCAAGTCTAGTTATCGGCTTCTTCGGTAGATTTCTGCGTTGCACCGCGCGACAACTTGCCCGCAGGAAACTCTGGGGGCGAGCGATCTGCGACTCTTGAGAACGCGCCCTTCAAAAGTGATCTACACGCTCTCTCTACAACATTCCCTCTCAGCCCTGGAATTTCGCGTATAAGGGAGCCCTCCCCCCTGATCGATCGAAACATTTTCCTCATAGACTTCAATGAGGGGCTGCTCATCTGCAGCGCTCGGCATACGCGGGATTCAAGATATCGGAACGTTCCTCTTTCTGTATCACCCAACGACTCTTGGAGCTCCGGATGCTCTCTTACTACGGAGTGAGAAAGTCCGCTGCACTCGATAATCAGAATTCAATTGTTTGATGACAGCTCACGGACATCTCGCGAAGCCACTGTTGTACTGATTATACGCCACACAGCACTTCCTGTTCCACTGTATTTGGCTTTCAGCACCGATCCGGACGTTTTCGGAAGTTTCTCATTCGAACCAGAGTCAACCGTGCGATTTGCCGCCCACCGGCCGAAGCTCGGTGAGCTCAACGCTTGAATCCGTCTCTGATCTGAATGTAGGATCTACCGGTCGTCCGCTGCATATTTTCGAGTATTGTTTTGCCATCGGCGACGGGAGGCTTGCCGCGCTGTGAACGTATATCAAGCCTAGGCATAAAAAGCTTATAAGAATAAAAAGTTGTACTTGTATTTAAAGCCTGATCTCTTTCTTAATTTCAAATACTCATTGAGCGGCTCAAGCTCGGGTTAGCTATCGGTCTGAAAATCGGTCAACCACGAGGACAGCGGTGTCTGTAGGGACGGATATTCAACCGACTGAGTAAAGGGCCGAGCCCCGGTCGGGGGCCACACATATTCCATGGACATAAGGGACATGTGGCGAGCCACGAGGGGGCCAGAACCCGACACGCCGATGGATGAGACTATCCGCTAGCACCATCGGGATTCGACGGACTCACACGGTGATTTTGATTTTCATTCGCTCCGGCATCCGATCCGGACTAGGGAGACGATCCTCGCTCGTTGAGATTCTCTCCTTCCTCCACGTGGGTATCCGTCGTCTCGTATCTCTCTGCTGCGGTCACTAGGCCCACGTACAATAGGACACTAGCATCAGGCCGGGAGGCTGCGTCGAACGTTGTGTGTCGGATTAGTTCTCCTTCTTGTAGAGTTTTATTCGACATCGAGCCGAATCCAGCCCCGGATCGATACACTAGAGTCGTACTAAAATGGATCTCGTCAAGCTAGCGACGAAGTTGAAAGACCGAAAACTGGAATTGCGATTGGGACATTGGGATGATATCGGTGCCAGAAACTCCGAATACCCATTCCTCGTGCGGTGGGATGGCTCCCGGTCCATTCTGTTCCCCGATTTTCCGTGGAACGCCATCGGAGTCGGATCCTTTCCGGGAGCTTGCGCCCCAGAAATCGACGCTCCGGGAGCTGCCGCGCCGTCCTGAGTGAACTCAGCCGTCGCTGTTGCTTCGATCACCCAGCGTGCGTGAACCGTCACGATGAATGAATAGACTCCACCATTATGTGGACAATGTAGATCCCACGGTGAGCCCCAGCTCGCAATTCCCTACGGCCCTTGAGCTCCTTGTGAGCATCATACAAGCCGACTCAGTCTTCGATTGTCCGTGTGGATCCACCGAAGCCCCATGATTTCCTCAGGAAAAATCGATTGTGTCTTCGAACCTCCCCGCAAATTCAGTCAGGAATTGATCGCTCGGTAAAATCACATTTCATTCTATAAAGTCCCGAACAACTGGATATTCCCTGTGTACATCACATACATGAACACGATGGTTTAACCACCAAAGTAAGATATCTATTTACGACGGAATGTGCAGCTAGTGGAAAGTTTTAGGCGCGCAGTCTGAACACCATGATCACGTTTCAACGGACTAGCGCAATTGATGCATCGGGTCGTTTCTCCCCGACGGTCCCGGTTGTCGGTCGTCCGCCGGCTCGACCACGACTGTACTGGATGATGTCTTCGTGACATATTCTTCGAGAACAGCTTTCCCCGCGTCTTTCGCCGTCCGTTTCGCGATCCCTCTGACTCCGAGATTGGTGACATTGTTCGCGGTCAAGGCCAAATTCCCTACACTGTAGAGAGCATCGCCAACAGCTTCTCCAGCATCCCCACCGTACCTGGATGGATTCCGAACTTTATTTTAATTCCGTCTGGAGAAACTATCTGCAATGTTCAATGGGCCGCGGAATTGGAGTGGATTTCCGATCCCTGACATTTTTCGAGCAATCGGTGTGCATCAGCCGAATGAACTCACTTGTGGTGGACCAGCGTAACGGTATTGGTCGTTATGCTCTGAGCGAGAACTTTGGCCGCGTTCTCCAATCCCATGAAGACTTTGCCGAATCCTGTCAGCCCGCCCCCCGCGATCAAAAGAGCATCGTTCAGGGCAGCGTTGGTCTGTACTCCGCCGATGACCTCAGGTTGCGCGATGCTTTTCGCGATTTTACGCCCCAGCGCCATGGTCATGTCTCCAACAACGCTAACCATGAAGCTTAAGAAATCATTTTATATTCAGTAGGAATCCCCGGCTGAGCCATGAGGGTGCGCATTTCACTCGGTGCACCACGGTGCCGGAGCTCCGGTGGCAATCGATGGCTTTCAAGATGATCACTTACCCCGTGACTTTGCACGTATAATGTGTGGTCGTACGAGCAACTTTGAGGCCTGTCTGAACACGTGGATCTACCATGTAAGCTCTTTGCTGAGGGGTGAGTCTTTCTCGAAGTTTCTCCGCTCCGTAGTTTAGTGCAACTGAGGTCACCTGAGCACCTTTAACGAGGCCCCGGCTGATGACCTCTGACGCTGAAAATTTTGATTTTTCATTGAGACGAGCCCCTGACCCTGAACACTTTCACGCCCGATATGGTCCCGACTTGGAGTCTCGGCAAACGAACCTGAGACGATTCCATCGGACACCTTCTGTCCCAGTGTTACTTCATCGGGATTGAGGCCGATTTGAGGCTGCTCTTGGAAAGCCGCATAGTCCTTCAGAAGCTCGTCCAACAGAATCCGGTCGACTTCGGAGACTTCAGCACGCAACACAATGGCGATACTCGAAGTGGTCTCAGACTGCGTGGAGATTTCGGGGAACACGTAACTGGAATCGGGATCCAGTTAAAACGACGTGGACATCACCTCATACTGGCAAGGACCATTCCCCGCTGACTGTGTGGTTGATCGCTTTGACTAATAAAGCGGAAGACGCTCCGGTAAGGCCAATGTCGGGAATTCCCACTCACGCTCCGTAGCCAGTTTTCAAAACAGGTGATTTTTTCGGGACAAGCGGGTAGGTGAAATCGCCAACTTGAATCCAGCTGACGGTCTGAGGTGTGATTGGCTGGTGAGCCTTATTCAGTGTGAGGATCTTCAGTTCTGTAGCGTCGCTTTCGACTTGTACGTCGTCATTTGGGCTAATGTGGAAGACTTGAGCTCCGGACGGGATGCTCAGGAGGACCCTCGCGGACATCTGCATCATATCCGGAGCATTAGGAGGAGCTCCTGGTGCTGATTGAGCTTGGTACTGGAATCCGAAAAAAAAATTTGTGCGTAATCGCATGGTACCGGCACCTTGCAGAGGTCACGGTGGAAGTTCGAAAAGCCTCGACATTCAGATTGGCTCGCATCGCTTATCTTTCGGGGAATATTTCATCGCGATCATACTAATTGATGGTATTGGGTGAGCTCCCTTACCGTGTATCCGTCGCGCGCGCTCCCAGGATCCGACTCCGTAGCTTCGAAGTAGCTCGGAGGGAACTCGGAATCCAGCTGGGGGTAGAGAGATCCATCCGACGGGCCAGCTCGGCTCGACATCCCATCGGGTCTGGGCTCCGCCACGGCCGTACTGTACGGCGGCGCGAAATTAGGAGGGTTCTTCTCGCTTGAGAGCGCATATATCCGGGTGTGTGCCTGCAATATTTGAGAATAATTCTCCCAGATTCCCGTTGACACCACACGATGGAGTTTGAGCCTGTGAATCTACAAACATCTTCTCGAACGCGGGTCATCTTCCGTTGCATGCGTCGGGCGTCCTCCCACTCAGATCCTCTGCAGTGAGGAAGATCTGTGCGTATGTCAAGGCCAGCGTTCAGGTAACGAAGTCCTTTATAGTACATTTCCAATGCCTCCCCCTGGAAACAATCAGCCGATGGAACGACTCGTATGATCTGGTTATCCGACCGCTGTTTGTTCGAAACGGAGGAAAACCTTCTTGGGAGTATCAATCCGATCTTCTCCTGCTCTCACCAATCTTCCGGCTTCCTCGAAGCATAGAGCCTGATCCATGAACACATAGGAAATTTCATACGCTTCACGCAATTGGCCAAGTTCCGCAGTGAAGTCCGCGACCGGCGCTTGACCGGCCGGTTTCTCCAGGGTGCTCATTCTCGAACTGCAACGTTGAATTCGAACACGAATGAATTTCTCGGGTGAGTAAAAGACTGTTGGAAGCCAGAATCAAATCCAGCAAAACTTTGAAGAAAACATCGGGCGCGACTTCTTGAATCCTATGGAGAGTTCTGTTCAACAGGAGAGCTGACGACGAGACGGATCCCAGCACAGGAGGCATCCAATCCCCTTAGGAAGTCCGACAGCGCTCGAGCAAGCGCCCAGATGGCATCGTGGATCCACGTAGAGCTGATGTCAATGTCAGATAAATCCAATCTCAGAATTCACTAGATCCGGCTCGATTTCCTCAACTGTTCGGTCAGAACGACGACAACGGGTCGAGACGAGACGCGTGCTCAGTACTCACCACCTTATGCCGGGGGGCTGTCCTCGATCCGCTGGAGTTGTGCACGAGATTCCGGACGACTTGGAACTCAAAGTGAATCTTTTTCACGAATGACTCATGTTTCGAAGCTCGCCTAGACTCCTCAGCTGACAAGTTTGCAGGCCCTGAGAGCCATCCCAAACACGAGCAACATTTGACTCCGGTGTCGGCATCCCACGACGGTCAGCCGTCAGCCCCGATCAAAATAAAGCCAGCTGATTGCGAGCTGCTCCGCATGATGCTCGATCAACTCCGAGCGGCCCAGAGTTTTCAGTCCTTTTGATCGAAGCCGACGATATCCCATGCCACCTCGGATTGCTGAGAGAGATCTTTCGACATCCGTTCGCTTTCCCTACGCTCAGGGCTTCTCCCCGAAGGGGAGTCGAGTGTGAAGATGAAACCAACAAACTTGCTTAACTCCTCTCTCGGAACGACTGCGTATTGTGATAAAGTCTGTGTCGACAACCACGGACCCGAAAACCTGATCTCTGAAGACGTGGTGACTCGACAGAATGGAGTGCTTCTGGAACATTTTATACGTCCCCCGGTCGACATCGATTTTATATTTCCGTGTGTGTGTGATATAGCCTACATAAAACTGAAGCTTGCCAAAGCCTCACGCGCAGTTCAACGTCTCCAAGTCTGGACTCAGTTTCCCGGGGACTCGAATTGGTCGAAGGTTACCACTGAGTTCGATCTGGAGCCTCAGCTCGTGCTCCGATGCGGGAATGTCCTACCGCGGCACCTTACCCTTACCGACCATCAGCTGGGGAGCCAGAGGAGCGTTCGATCGATACGAGGAGTTTCCAAGTTACGGATAACGATTCTCGGCATGAAGGACTGCGTGGCCGTCAGTTTGATGGGCTGCGAAGCCATCGGGCTTCCGTCCTCTCGAGTTCCGAGAGATCATCCTATATTCACCAAGCTCAGATCGCCTCCGAGTAGTAATTCGGCTCCGACCAGGAGAACTCCCCTTTCCAGTTCGAAGCCTCAAATCGAAGAATCCGCTAAACGAAGGCGGATCGAAGATACCGCCGCGGTACCCGAGGAATTCTTGGACCCCATAACCTTCTCCGTGATGACGATCCCGGTGGCATTGCCGAGCGGGAACGCCGTCGATCAGTCCACGCTGGATAAACACGTCGCCAACGAAAACCGATGGGGAAGGCCTGCCAGCGATCCATTCACCGGAGTCGCGTTAACGTCGAAGCCGATCGTCATAACAGAACTCAAAAGCAGAATCGATCATTTTCTTTCGGCCACCGGGAGCACCTCAGGCGTTCGGCTGGCTGACGGTCGTAACGTCACCAGATCGGACATTTCTCGCTTGGTCGTGGAACGAATCGCCGGCCACGCCGGAGAGCCCCGAAACTCTCGAACCTCGACAAACATGGAGAACGCATTCGCCGAGGCCTTGAGCTCGGCTCGAAGAATATTGAGGGGCGATTTCGATAATGCAGATAGCAGGAAATGTCCCGTGTGCAAGGACAGTGGAGTAAACTACAAACGAGGCTGTGGCCACTACCTCTGTCGATCGTGCGTTTCGAAACACGCGGAATCTCAATGCACGATTTGTGGAGCTCAATCAACTCGGAGTAGCATTATCAAAATCCACGGGAAGTGAAAGTACCGGTGGATTTCCGTCTGATCAGTTGTACATGTTTCCTTGAGAATGATGATAATTAAAAAATGCATGAATTTTGAATATATCCTGATGATTGTTTTGCCTAGTAAGTGGGAAGAAAGGGAACAATTCCACTCTCATTTTCGAATCAAGTACTTCCCCCCCCAAGTCGCAGCTTCGATCGTTTTATATAATCCTCCTTATCGTCTGCATCGGAAACTTCATGAAATTCCGCGCAGGTTCAATGGGGTCGCGGAGAAATTCGCTGACGCGACAGTTCCGGCTCAGATAGAATGTTGACTGTGGAGTGAATGACTCCGACCGGGAACATCCCATTTATACCAAGCCGAACCTCCATGATAAAACATGAATACAGGGGTCGAGAAACTCTGGTATGGATATGGTTCATCAGTCACGGCGCATCGATGAAAAATTTGCGGATGAAATACCCGATTAGAGGTGGGGCGAGAGATTGGTGTCGCTCAAATTGGTCGCAGGGATACATATGTCTTATAACAATCATACCTCAGTCAAAGCTCTAGATGAGCCAAACAGGAGAGGAAATCGGTCCCAGTGCTCACAACGAATTCTCAGGTCTTCGAGGCTCCGTTTTCGAGAGCTTGCTTAGGGCTCGACATCCTTAGGCTGAAGAAAAGGAGCCCTCAGCAGTCGATGAGCTCATCCTTTTTGTCAGGAGAGTTCATTGTCCTTCAATCGCTGGTTATCTGAGCAAAATGAACCGTGAAGGGAATTGCTCGGTCAAAGATACTACTCACCTACATATTAGAAAGTTGCATACCGAGAAATCTTCCGACTTTCAATTTCACTCAATTGAACCGCCGTCAGGGGAGGAGTCAGGGGTTATCAGCGACGGAATTGTTGTCGTATATAAAGAAGAAGTTCGCGGTGCGATGTCCCGCAGAACGACGAGATGCGGATATTGGTACCACTACTAGTGTGTTCCTTCGTTATCTGGGAAGCACAGGCCACGAAACATGGTGAGAACCGCATTCTAACCTAGGGGATCCTCACTGAACTCTGGTTCGCGCTCAAAGCATCGAGTGTGCTATTTCCTGAGAGTGTCATGCGGCTGTGATCCTTAAGTTCAACAGAAACCGACATTTGAGTTGCAGAAATCGACGTAACGAAGCCCCTCCAGATATTGCGCCCAAAACGAAAAGCTGATGTGACTCAAAAAGATTCTTCGGTGGCAAAGCAGTCCACCACAGTATTCCAGTCTGTCGTCCTGAGCCATCCATCGAAGTCCACTGCACAACAAGTGGATCATAAAAATACCGAGACAGGAAAGAAAGCGGAGGCGGTGCCGAAATCGTATCAAGTCTCCTACGGTACCCCCTCCCAATCGATCATTCACAATGATAGTTCGGAGAGTGTGGTCAAGGGTCGGTACATAATTAACGGTACGTCCCTTATCGATTGATTTGGTTCAGTTCCAATTAGTCAATGAGCTGAGTGCGACGAAATTTTCCAGGCCTCAACGGACAGCATCGCACCGTGGAATACGTTTCAGATGGAGACGGTTCCCGCACCGGACTCGGTGTCCCAGAACCCAGGAGCGGATCGGCGACCGGTGAAGGTGTGTCTTTCGTTTCCTCCTCTGCAAAAGTCCCCCCGCAGCAACCAGAAGCGCTGACGCTGCCCCCTCTGAGAGTCGTGGACATTCAGCCATTCCCGGCGCCGCTCGTGCGTTACGAGGTTAATCCGAACTCACCTATGCACACTTCGCACCCACTGTACCCCATCGCGAACAACGTCGAGCACGTGGTCCACGGTCTGGAGCCGCAACTCCAAGCACCTGTACAGCCGGCCCTACACATCGCTCCCGCAGTCGCTCAACCTGTTGAAGTCCTCCAGACACCAGTTCTAGCCCGATCGATCGCGCCTGCACCCCCTCAACAGCTCTTCTTCAGTCAGGGACAGGTTCCGTTGCTTTCACCTCCCGATTTCCACATAATAGATCATCACGACGTACCGAATGACGGCGGCGCTCAGGGTCAAATCCCTCCTCTTGCGACACGCAACCTTGATCATGCTCAAGGCTTATCCCGAGTTTCCAGCGGGGGTCCACAGATCGATGTCCACGTACCGCAGACGATCCAGGCCCGTCGGCCGACCGTGCTCCCAGCCCCAGCTTTCTTCGCGCCACTACCCTCAGTCCAGGTTTCTTCAACCCGTGGGATGGCGGCTCCCCCCGCTTACCTCACCCAGCCTCAGCCATCGAGCTCTGCCCCAGTCGCTCCTCAGACTCAATCACAGTCGGTCTCTCCCCCCCAGAATTCGCAGCAGATTCGAGAGATCAACATGGAGAACACCGGACCGCAGTCTTACCTTGGGGAAAACAAACCAGACGGTCTAAGACACCCGCAAGCAAACGGACCTCAGGCAATGCAGAGGCCTACTCTCGCTCAAGCGACCGAACAGTCAGGGAAACCCATGACTTTCTCCTCGATTCAACCGACCAATCATGCGCGGATCTTTGAGGTCAGAACAAAAGTAATCGATCACGACGGGTCTTCCTTCACGAATGATCCGCGACACGTTCCGAAGAATCTGCCTTTCGACGGCCCCATTCTTGCCGCTATCAAAGTCGCGGACTTCAGCGCGGCCAGGGATCGTGTCCGTAATCCGGAAGCGATTTTCAAGAACCTTCCTCCGCCTTCTCGACGTCCGCCACCTCCGGCTCCCAGACAATCGGAGCCGCTGATATTCCTCGCGGTACCCCCATCAGCCCAAGCGCCTAAGCCTCAGCTACGGCCGAAGAATCGAGATCCCCCGAACGATCCGAACCTTTCGAAGATGTTCGAAGCGATCCCAGGACCATCCGTTCACGACATCGGTGAGTCTTCCGCCAGGTTCCTCGTGAATCTATTATTGTCATGAGTTATAAGCTCAGGTATTAGATAGCTAGCATTGATGCGAAGATGAATCACTACGCACACCAGTGATATCCCCGAACGTCTCATGATTTCGTCTTCTCAACTTCGTACGGTCCCGGGGAACCCATTGAGAAAAGATCCTTCTGTTCCTTCCAGCCATGGATGAATTCTTCAGCAATATCAAGCAGCACCATCAGAATGAGGTGAAATTCGTGCAGAAGCATGAGGAGCAGTTCCAAGCTCTGGCTTCGAGAGTGATGCCTCTCTTACTCAAGAAACGTTTGGCTGCGGGTCCTATGATGCACCAGCACCATATCCTATGATCATACCCAAAGCGAAGATCTCTTTCGCCGCACCCATGATAACATTGTGCTCATTCCTTGAGACTTCCAGAAGAAATTAATATATCCCCCAAGAATATTTATCGCGTCTTCGGCAAGACGCTCCCCGTCCCCGTGGATTTTTTAAAGCCTCGATAATAAATTATTGATGTTGATCGTCATTCGTTCCGCAAGTTCTTCTTCTGCCGCCGTTAGAAGCAGGAGCCAAAAGCCGGTCGAATATTCTCGCTTCTCTTGCTTCGTCCCACTCACGTCAGTATTTCAACCTGGAGAGCGGATTCCAGGAATTTTTCTCGCCTGGAACGTCTCGCCGGAGGCATCGAACTCAACTCGGCCCCGGAATCTGATGCTCCCCCAGCGCGATATTCGGAAGTCTTAAGCTCCTTCCACGCCAGGGGAGTCCTTCTGAATCCTAAATATGCTGTCTATGAGTTATCATTTATCATTCATGACACAAAACGAAGCGTCGAGCGACTCGGATCGGATCGAAATGACGGAGGGAGCGGAGATGCCTCCGAGCTCTGAGGATGCTCCAGAAGCAGTCGGGATATTGGGTGGCCTTAAAGAAGGACCTGGATCTTTCCCGAATGATTTGGCAGCGAAAAACGCCAGCCTTTCGACATTCAGGATGTGGCTCGAGGAAAACAGGGATATCCCGAATATACAAGACGACGCTCTCGTCTCATCGACGACCCTAACGAATCCTTCCCTGCTGTTCAGTGAGTGCTTCATTTGGAGGCAGATTGCAACTTCAACACTTGGATCCCTTTGACATTGAAATATAGATAATTCATATTCATTGTTGCGTTTGAAGGGGTGGGGAAATTCAGGGAGAAAAAGCGCAGGAGAAGAGCGAAAGTACGTACGCCTTCGGCGGACGCCTCGGGTTTTTCTTGCGCAGGAGCAGCTAGTTTGATATTCTTCACGGCACTTGCTGTGCTCCTTATCCTCGAGCTGCCAGAGTTCCGTCAAAGATCCTCCAATGGGACGACCCACGATAAGCAAAATCCGACGCGGGACACCTTTCCCGTGAGCGCAGGAGGTTCCTCCCCGGAGTATCAACGAGATGTCCCGACAAGCCCGCGAAATGATGGCCTTCCTCGCGATGTTCAATCCACTAAAAAGGGAAAGACCGGAACGCTGAATTAGAGGAGATGGGGGAACTTCTCACCATCCTTCTGGGTCGTTGTCAACGGAGTTTCGTTATTTCGGGAAAGGTGTCCGAATCACGGAAAGTCTCCGAGCCGATTCCTCGAGAGAGCGGGGGGTATCATGGAGCATCCGGATGGCCCTCGATTGATGATCGAATCTGGGTATTCCTCCTCGGTGTGCCGCGTGATCGCATCGGCGAAGCAAAAGTCGCCCGAAGCGTAGGGGAACTTCTACGTCGCACGCGAGGCGAGGGTTCTGAGCTTATCTAGGCTATATCTTCTTCATGTCTTATCACCAATAATCATCCAAGTCATCGAGAACAATGATAATCGTGGCAGAGTCGAGGCAACAGATGGGGCTTGGCGCGATCATCAGAGAATAGCTGCAGCAGGAGAGTAGTCCTCCGCAGAGAACTTCGTAGCATCTCTGGCCGTTACGAAAAGAAGATTGTTCTGTGATATCTCGGAAATCATCTCCTGAAAGGGAGACCCCCAGCTTTTCTGGAGCGTGAGGAATTTCTGCGCTGAAGAATTCCGCGACCCCAGTCTCCCTCAATGTTATCATACGGCCGGCTTCGCGCCTCTGAACCACGCATAAGAGAATCGGTCGACTAATGAGAAGGTTAGGGCGATCTGCTCAGTCCATTAATGCTGTGCGAGCACTGAAACATTCAACGAACTCCGTGCCGAGCGGCAGACCATCGAGCATTTCCGTGGGAAATTATCAAGTCATGTCAATACATATATAGGGCTGAGTCCGTTTGAAAACGACGCAGATCATTGCGAGGACAGAGTGATTGAGGGATTTCAATAATGAAAAGCTATGGCTTTGCAAGACCGAACGCAGTCTCCGGGTCCTGCGCTCAGACATTCGAGCTGAACCCATGTTGTGAAAACGATAAAGAGCGACCTGATTTCGGAACTGATGGTCCGCGTGATGCAGTACTATCGTGAATCGTGAAGCCTCGCAATCGTCATAGCTGCTCGAGATTCCAACCTTTTAAAATCGCCGCGAGCTCGTCTTCCCGCCACTGATCGCAGCGCCCCCTATGGCGCCAAAACTGTGTTGTGCGCGCCTCACCGCCAGACACTCGGTGTGGTGCAGTCGGGGCTTCAGTTGTCTCCCGTGGTAGTGCCGCAAAGATTCCGCCAGAGCGAGATCCGAGGTTTCTTGCGAAATTCATTCGTTTCCACCGTGGTCGTGATCGGACTGAATCTTAGCTTACTGATTGTGAACAAGTGTGTTGACGATGGCGTCGACGGCCAGCAAAAAACAGCAGCAAACGCTGACTGAGTTTTTCGCGGCCAAAAAGTCTTCCCGATTGACGGCCACGAAACAAGCATCCCAAGCGTTGGAGAAACTCAAGTCGCTCCAGACCGATCTGAGAGAGATCAAGGCGAAGAAGGCGAATCTGAAACAAGATCAATCCGAAAAGAAATCGCCATCATACGAGGTGAGTGGAGACCTTTAAAAGCTCTTTAATTTTCCGGCGAGTGCTTCGGCTTCATTGAAAGAAAGTTCGGGCGCCAGAGCTGACCCTGGGTCTGAGCTAATGGAGCCTTTCCATCCGAACTGAGCGGTTCAGTTCTTCCGAGACATCTAGTCCTGGCGAGTCGAAACGTGGGCGACACCTGCGGTCCCGAAGGAGCCGACACTCAGTACGCTGTAGTGGTCAGGATTTTGGCGCCATCCGCATCCCAGCTGCGAGTCATCCGTCTCCGGCTTGACTCCGGCTCTCAGAAGTTTATAGCGATCGACATTGGCAGGAATGATTCGATTGCCTGGGATCCTCATCATCGAAGGTTCAAGGTCGGCATCCGAGATCGACTCTTCCCGTCTTCGTGATGGAGTCTTTCTTGACCGAGATTCATTGGGCATCGTCCCGAGTCCCGACGGTCTAACTTCGCAGGAAAGTGTCGCTCACCGACGAAATTCTGCTTTTTTGAGGAAATGTGTTCGCGGGTTGAACTCCGTCCTGGGACTCTTCAGATCCCTGAAAGCTTGTTTATCGTGCTCATTCGTTGCCTTCTCGAGCTTAGATGAGCCCTCGCTCGTCTTTAAAACCGATGTGCCATTGCCTTGGTGATATTTGTTCCGTCAAGACGCTCGGGCCGTCAGCTCCGTTGAGTAGGAGCTGCACTGCCGAGACCCTCCAAATTAATGGGCTTCCCGGCATGTCCCGGAATCCCCCCTTCAAACCACACCCGAGTCAGGAAGTCGTCCGCAACCATTGGGCTCTGCACTCGCATGATACCATACAAGAATTCCTCAAACGAAAGAAAGCGAGTTGGATGCCTCTTCGAAATCAAGCGAGAATCTTGCTCTGTTGAGCAGCGGTGTAGCCCGCTCCGACCTGTTGATTGAGCCGCGAAGAAATTCCAGATCGGATGAAATTCCTGAATGGCCGGCTGTTTCGCCGAGATCGGTCTCTTCCTCCGTCGGCTCGGCTGGGGGGAGCATTGTTCATCAATAGCACCCTGACGTTTCGTAATCCGCGGAGAAGAATCTCATAGCGTCATGTCCCGGTTATTTCCCCAGAATACCGACGAATTTGCATAAGCTAGCGATGCTGTCGAAAATCCGCGATGTCCGCATCCAGACAGGGTGAATTCCATTCGGGACTCGTGGACAACCAGCGATCGTTCGTCCACATTGCGAGCGTCACGAGTTTCGGCCTCCCGACTACAGAGCGGGATAATTTTCTCAATCGATGCGGAGTTAGCACCCTCAATTGCCTACGTTCCTAGATGCAGATCATCTACAGATCTAGATGATCGTTCTAAATCATTTGCTTCTTTCTCTATTTCAGCGCTACGCTAGTTTGCTCGAGCCCAAGTTGGACCCGCCGCTAGAGCCTCGCGTCGTTGAGACTCTAGACAATATCCTCTCCGGTAAAATCGCACCGGTCTCTCCGAAACAACCGGGCAAAGGAAAAGTGAGTACCTCCCCTCTGAGGAGTCTCAAGTCTCCCATGACTCATGAACATACCTCGGGGATCATTGGTATACTATCCATAGTCCTTATGATCATGGGATCTATCATAACATGCGATCTCCGCTATTTCCAGAGCGCCCTAGCACGACTCGAAGCCAAGCGTGCAGCACTCAGATCCTTCAAGGAGAAGTTGAGTCGTATCGAATCCGAGCAGCAGAAATTGAAAGAAATCCGAGAGGCGAAAGAGCTCAAAGAGGTTCCCGAGGTTCCTGCTCATGAAAAGTACAGGTACCTCACAGCCCCGTCCGGTACTCTCCCATTACCAGCACACTACGAGAAACTTTTCAATGGCTTCACCGCGTCCGACACCGTGGTCTCCATGTTCCACAATCGAAAAGAGCTTTGTCGGCTGGAGAAGCTCTCCCAAGCGGTGCGGAAGATGACCCGGAACAACTTCGGTCTGCCAGAAGTCTCGAAGATACTCACCGTGAAACCGGACGCGTACAAGATCACTGTCGAACAGCACCGGTTCCTCGACACTACGGCCAAGATGCACCATATTGTCGACTTCGCGGAAGCTCCAGAAGGTCCGAAGTTTTTGATGCAACGGAAATCTGAGTTCAAGGAGAAGCTCATTCTCAACGTTGCCAGGTACCACCAACAATTCATCGATAAGCACATGCCGGGTTCGGAAATCCCAATGGAAGCACTCAAGAGATGGCATCCCAAGTTCCGTCTGGATGAGATTCCCGATATCACGGAAGCTGAAGTTCCGAAACTCCCGGACAGCTCAGAGACACCGAAAGCGAAAGATATTTTGGAGAGAGTCCGCGGCAAATTCTCTGTACGGATCGAGAAGGCGTTGGAAAGCTTGGCTGAAAAGCAGAGAAAGACCGACGGAAACAACAACGAGTCCCCTGGACAAGAATCAAGTGATGAGAGAGCTGTGCATGGAGTTAGCAAAAGTCTCCTCGAACGAATCAAGAGGAGGGAAGCGCTGAAAATGGCTGAAAGAATGGTCATGGGAGGCGAAAGCGGCAAAGATCGGCGCCAGCTCCAGGCTCTGCCGAACCTTATACGGACGATTCGTCAAATATTTATTTCGTCCCAGAAAGCCGCACTACTCTACACGGATCTCGTTGCAAAAATTAACGATTGTGGATCGTACGATGATCTGGACTGTTTGATGACGCGTCTCTCGGAAATCGCCCCGGAATGGTACAAACCACTCAAAGTTCGAAATTCTCAATACGTCAAGATAGACAAGGAGAGAGACATCAACATAATTTGTGCTCGGGTAGAGAATTTAGCCAAAGATGTGAACAGTGCCAAGAGCCTCTAAGAACCATCCGAGACATGTTTCAGAGAAGGGGCAATGATAGTCATTAAACATAAGCCTTAAAATCGAATTGACAGTAGTCGGTATATAAATAATAAACGTACGCTTATCCATATTCCCCATTCATAATCCGTCAAGCGGGAAAATATCTCAATCATTGAATATTGCGAAGCACGTTCATTTAGACAATCCGAGGATGAACATGAATGGATGATACCACCCGGACGCGAATCTGCTCATAGTCATATACGAAGTCGTAATGGAGATTGGTCCGGCTAGGCGAGGTTTACTCTCAATAAAGACAAGTTGTCAAAGAGGGTCGCTACAAGAGTATATTATTATTTATCTGCTCGAGCTCGATTCCTTCATTATGATAATTTCGACGATCAGTTTCCATAGAGCCATGACATGGAGAGATTCGGAGCGCACGGTGCCACGACGGCATCACGGTGTTGGACGGGGAAATCTTGGAGTCCTACTCTTTGACTGGTCTTGGGTGGAGCGTGGAGCCGTTCCGGAGCAGTCGGTGGAATAGGGTCGAGACATAAGCAGGGCTTCCCGGAAAAAACGCAATCGAGAGGAGAATCGCACGAATATCGAAACACGGAACAGCGCCCGTCGCGCTCGCAGGGAGAATGCGTTCATCCATCTCGGTTCCTTGATCCTTCGTCGGCGACTTGTTCTACTACGGCCTACGACGGCCTTCGACTAGTAATTAAAAATTAAATGAAATCGAAAGCAGTCAGGTTTCTCCGAGATTTGTTCTTCCTTGTTATCCTGTGAGCGTGCACGGAAGATATTCGGAAAGTCTCGCTGGCGGCTGGCAGATCGCCGTCCAGGTTGTAAACAGCGTCTCAGACTTGAGGAATGAGGCCCGGAATCGTATTTCGAAGCTTTCTTCGAGCATTGCGCTCTCCTTCAAGAATCTATTGGGATGGTCTCTCGGCAGTGGTGTGCATGAGCCGGTGAATGTGCTCGAGAGGCGACGCTGCGGTGCATGAGGTAAGCCTCGGAATTCCGAAAAAATCGGGACACGGCTCAGAGCTGATCAGCTGTGCCACTGCGCTCCAAATGAAACATGGACGATATTCCATCGGACTTCCTTCAATCTGATGGAACGGATGGTCGCCAGGACGCCACAGGGCTGGGTGAAGACTCCGGAACGGATTTCGACCTTTCTGATATCTTAGCCGACTACTTCAGCGAGCGCATTCATCAAATTGCTGCGAGAGGTGAGGGATGCTTTAACTTTTCACGTTTCGCTGGGGTGGAAGTAAAGTGACAATGTGCCGGGACTCAATTCTCGATTCTCATTCAAGATTCTGGAGAGGTGAGTCCAACCACCATCGAAGTTCAGAGTGGGGGCACCCGAGAACCAAGGATATCCAGAGTGAAACGGGAAAAAGACAAGCATAATCGTGAAGAACCGAAGCAACGTACTCGAAGTGCATCAGACGGTGATGACTCCCGAGACCACAGCCGAAGATCGAGGTATTCCACAACTCATGAATGGAGCTTAGAAAAGAGGAATCCATTGATCACTGACATTGATGTCTGGAATTATTCACAGATCAGTTTCCCTGCTCACCAAGTATAATCTCGGTGAAGAATTGATATCTTGAAGAAACTATGAACTATGTTAATGGGAACCCATTGAGGCATCATGCAGTCGTCTTGCTCTCCGAGATCGTAGATGGTTGCGGGCCGAGGATTCTGATCGTGCCGGATTCCGAGATCTTTCTCATGACTTCCATCTGTTGCTTCCGTATGATCGCTTCAACGATGCCATAACATCATTCCTTATTCGTCGATTCCAGACATGAGCGAACATCCAGAACCCATCGACATCGTGACGATAGGAGCCGCCGACACCATCGCAGTCGGAGTGCGGACAGACGTGGAGACAGGAGAAAAGGTTACTTGATATTCAGCAAGCATGTTCGATGCGAGAATATCTCTCGCCGGAGCGTTGCTCCGCTTCCTCGGTATCGAACGATTCGGATTACGGTCTCGATGTCGGGACCCTTGGAAAGCCGTTGGAATTCCCCGAGGGTTCCGCAACTGATCAGAGTGGACCCAGGCATCTCCCAGGTAGCCGATGACGCCCGACTAAAACCCACAAATGTCTTCAGATCGCTCCCGAAGTTCGAAGCGGGAACGTAGGAGATCGTCGTCTGATTCGGAACGACGGCGCGGCTTTAATAAGAGTGAGCTCTTCGAAGTCGCGCGCCGCAACGTGAAATTGATGTTTGAAAATGGCACGCTGCCAAAGGTTGGTCTTCATGGGAGGCGATATCGGTCAGGTTGAGTGGAATGGATTCATTCGCAAATTCGTTCAGACCCCCAAGATGGAATTTTTCTCTCTTTTAGGGCTTGGTAGTCGATCCCGAGAAGATGGGTTTTCAGAAAGACGAGACGTCCGATTCAATCGAGCGGTACACACAAATGTGTCGCAAAGTCAGGGAAGAGGATGAAAACGAGTAAGAGCCGGCATATTTTATTACGCGGCCACATGGGCATTCACTATACATGTTCCATAGCATCTGCATGGGTGGTACATGGGTATTCCGTTCCTCCGCTTCTCCTTATCTTTTGGAGGGCGTGAAGCTTGACTCGATTCTCGAGCCTGGCCTTCTCACCACGTATCACGGGGAGCCCTCCCGATTGATCCATCAGGACCAGTAGAACCAGTTTTTGGAACTCATCTCCCGCCCATTGGACACTCCTAGACTATGGCTTCCCATGTCACCATGTGATTGAACAGAGAGCGGTTCAGAGGTCGAGATCGATCGGTGTTTCTTGAACGCATTTTTCCAGGCCATCGAGCTCGCATGTGAATCATCCCTTCCTCGTGAAGGATAAGCCCATAAAGATGAATATCGCCAACTCGATCTCACTCCCTATAAAGTCACCGAAGGTTCGAAATTCCCCCGATCCGTACATGCAACCCCATTGGAAAAATTCTCAGAGACGTGCTCTATTGACTTTGAATAAGTGTGGTGTTAAACATCTCCCCTCTCCGCAGGAGAAAATTCTTAGCGCACAATTTCCTGTCAGCAGCGGTTGTTCTCATAGGCAGTTAGAATGGCGTCCTGTCAAGCCGGAAACGAAGAAGCAGAAACCCGTGAGTACTTGGATGTGTTCGAATTGAATCTCAGCAACGAGAACTCGCATCTTGAGATGCTCGGCGCCATATTAGCGCGTTTCTCTAGGATCATATTCCTCACTCTTATCCAGTATCGTATGTTGAGCTCAGGCTCACCTGGAAATTCTGAGTTGTCGTACCGACCCGAAATTCCACGGCTGATCCAAAATTGCTTTTCAAGAAACCCCCGGGGAGTGCCACGAGTACAGAGTCAACTCCCTCCGTAAATCCCGCCGAGGACGAAGCTCGCATCGCACCGCGATTCGAAGAATCGATCGATCCTGAAATCAGAAGTTTGTCCATACCTCAGGTGAAGCTTCCTATCGGAACGTATCTAACTCCATCTCCCCTACATTTCCATTGGACCTACTCACAATTTTACACCTTCCTCCAGATCCTGAATCGGCTGCAAGGAGCTTCGCTGAGATTGGAGAGCAACCCTTTTGACATCGAGGCCAAAGAAACCCAAAAACACTGTGATGCTGTCCTGAAAGAGATGAATTTCTTCATCCCGGACGTGAAACTCTTCTCGGGTAAGCTTCCGTTCCTGGTTCCGATGATGAATCTCTATGCAAGAATCATGAGAGAAATACTTCATCCACAGCTCACGTGAACCCGACTCCCCTACCCCCGCCGACGAATTGCTTCCGACATCAAAATAGGATTCACCCCAACCTCCTGAGAGATACGAAGGCTCTGAATAGCGGAATCGGAATGACTCTCTTGCAGAAAATGGGATGGACTCCCGGGACTGCCTTAGGTGGGGACTCAATGTCAGAAGTTTTTTTATGGCGTGAGGAGAGCTCGATCTCTGACAGTACCTTTCACAGGTAAAAATCAAGAGGGCGTGCTAGAACCTCTACTGCCACAGATTAAATTCGATCGCAAAGGTCTCGTCGCGCAAGAAGAGTTGATGAAGAGACCCATGGCAAGAATACCTACGAAAAGGCCACCAATCGGGAAGCGATCGGCAGTGAAGAAACCGATGCCAACTCCAGCGAACAGCGCCATGAATACCACTTTAAACAGGTAAGGGCACCCTAAACTCTCCCTGCTCCACGAATATAATTCCCCTATGCAACATTAGTAATTCCCTTCCGAATCAGATCCGCTGCAGAGACGGCTGCGATACAGGAGGTCATCGATAAAGTTTTGGGAGGCAAGCATCCGGTGACCTTAATTCTGGAAATTTGTGTGGCTAGAAAGATCAAACAGCCCGAATTCGTTGATTTGCCACCGGAGGGAGAGCCGCACGATCGGACGTTCCTCTGTCGGTATGCAAAAATCTACTCTCACTCAGTGATAAATATGACTGTTTCATGCATGAATCTATCGAGCTCAGCCAAGTGCTTAGGACGTCGAGTCCTTGTCTCCTGTGGGCGGTTGCCGCTTCTACCGATGTGCAGTCCGAGTTTCTAAGGATGCTTGCAATCTATCTGCAGGGTCGATTTCAACGGTAAAGTTTTCATCCCATCAAAGAGGTCAATGACTAAAAAATTGGCGAAAACTCAAGCTGCTCTGTTGGCGCTGGCTGATTTCGACGATTACGATGCTGATAAGCTCCGAACCTAGAGTCATCGAATCGCATCGGCGACGCGACGTGATGCTGACTCCCCGGTAAAGTCCTTTTCAGGCGGGCGGTGTGATATCGCGAGGATATAATAAAATTCCTCTCGATATTCTCATACTTGTGCCTCTTAATTGGTCATAGCATAGCCACTGAGTCTAGCGATAGCATGCGTGCAGTGCGTACGCTAACTCGTCGGGAGAGTTCTGTGCGCTATTCTTTCCTCAGACTTCCTCGAGCTGCAACGCTCAAAACATCGACCGAGATGGCCGTCCAGCCAACAAAAATCAATACCTAGTCCGTCCTTCACCAGAGAATCATCTTATTACACAGGTCTTTCTAATTGACAGAATATGAATCTCACACAAGATTTAAACGGGAACTCACGGAGCTGATTCTCCTTCAGAGCCCCATGGATAGATGTCCGACAGTTTTCGATTCTTTTCCTCCCAAGTATCTCACCCTCGATATCTTCGGTGGACCCTTCGTCCTCAACAGATGACACGTCGGGATTCTCCGCCAGATTCACTAGTCCAGATATCCTCATCGTTGATTGGTTCGCTCCGTGCAAGGAGCTGGAAACACCGAGGGAAAAGTGTCTAACACATGTCGAATCCAGCACCCGATCGATGAAACCTGACTGGCTCCAGCCAGGAGATCGCAAATACGAACCTGTTGCACCTTACGCGCCTTTTCAAGAATTGATAGCCCCGGACGGAATCGTGAGCTTCCGAATCTGATTCCGTGAAGCGGCGCCATTGTACGCTCCTGATCTGATTCATGCGAGACTCGGGAGCTACGAACAGCCACGTATGAGCTCTCCATCTCGTTCCGAGTTCGGAAATTCGAAATTCGAAAACTCTACCGATGTCGAGGGAGGAGCTGCATGGCTTATTCTCGGGATCTGGAGACTGTAACCGAGGAGTCGAAATCCTGAGAATGCTCAGATATCTCAAATATTCTGAATTCTCGACTTTCGATCGGTACAATTTGAGGGATGCACTCCATTCTGAACAGTCTCGTCCGTTTTCCGGCTCCGGGGCATCATTCCAAGGATTCCGAGTCATGGAGACAAATCTGATCTTCCCAACGCTGTCACCTTTCGCTTGCCACGGAAATTCGATGCGATTATGCAACGAAGGGCTTTTTCGGAAGAGCACCACTGAACGAATACGAAAGTGGTATTCTGCTTGACTTCGAGCAGAACTTGAGACCTCGCTACCTCACTTCCAAGCGGAGCCGTAGGGAGTCAGACCTGGAATGTCATCTGCTGATCCTTGAGGGACCATCCATCTTCGAGAAGACTGAGAACAACCCGTTGGAGGGCGGAAGGGATCGACGAGAGGACTCGGATCGTCCATGGACCACGAGCACCGGTCGCTATGTATCGTATTTCTATGATAGAAGGAAGGCTCGAGCTCCGCAGCGGATTCCGCGCCTAGTCTCGAGCTCTCTAATTCTTGGAGACCCGCTCTGTTAATACTTTGTTCTCTCTAAATATTTGAGGCTTCTATGTGTGATCGGACACAGCTTCTGGGATCTTCATAGGAAAGAATGTTGATTTTCGGGATCCGAGTCGGCGGGAGATAATGATCAACGACGCCCTACAGGCCACGATAATTTCCACGAGGAAGGTACAAAGAAGCGCGCTCAGTAGGTACATGCTTTTTTTGCTGCCCGCTGTAATCGGCCCTATCTGTGGGCGGACGCAAGTGCCCCTGTCAGTGAGCCAGCCCTCGCTGGGCCAGAATGCAATCAGATCATGCCTGTCGTGTCGATTTTACGCCGAGAGCAGCCTGATCCCTTGAGCCGCGGATCTCCTGCAGAGTTTTTTCTAGACATAGACCGGATGGCAAACTTTCATCTACACCTCACAGTCAGCGGAGCAGAGGACGTTGCCCGCTGGAGGCGGAGAGTACCTTCGGAAATCCGAGATCTCTACGCCACGGTTCATGAAGTCGGCAAGATGCCCCCGACCTTCGAAAAGTTGTGACGGAAATTGTATCGACTCGAAATCAGAAAGATGTGCGCGGAAGTTTTCTCACGGTTCTCAGGGATGGCGATGTCTCCCATGCTGCAATGTATTCTCAGATACAGGGAATGGGTGTGGAAGATATCGTGGGAAAAGTGAGGAATATTGCGATGGACACGTTCTTCTCCTCAGGACATCTCGGACCGTTCCGTGTACGAAATAGATTTCTCGACTCATGGAAGACGCTCGTAGCACGCTGCAAGGAACGCACATTTAGCAAGGTTGTGCTCCTATCTGAAGCGCAACATAGCTCGGGGAACGACCTCTGTCGTAAAATTTAGCAGAATCACGTCTTGAAAATCTCGGAACTTTCGGAATGTCCCACGCCACGGTCACCCGGAACTCATCCGAATGGTTCTTCCAGCCCATTGCTTGCCGAACGTTGGGGAAGAGGTATCGGGCGGTTCCGGATCGCAAATGCAGAACTTTCCCAGACGCTTCTCCTTCACAGATCATGCTTCCGGGCTCGAAATGCGAAATCGAGAGGGGTTCGTAATGCTTCCTGCGACCCGCGATACACCCGAGGCGAATCGCAAACGAATTCACGAACTCGTTTGCCTCGCGGAAAAGCTGATCTCGGATCCGCTCCGCTTGACGCTTCACCGGATGTGCATCAGTGTTTGACGATCTGCTTACGTGAGTTAGCAGATTTCAACGAGTAACCCGACATTCGTATACGCGCGCTTCACACCCCAATGTTCATACCCGGTTTGCTAAACTTACGCGCATTCCATTCCGCTCGGAGTGTCTTGCCTGCTGCGAGCCTGATCTTCGCATGAATCACTCGCGGTGTCCTTCGAGCATTATTCGAGGGCCGAGCTCGAGGGGTGAAGTCCACGGAGATCGATCCCGAGGCCACCGTCGAAACATGGCGCTCCGACTCTGCGGGAACTTGTCTAATGCGGCACTCGTCTCTACGACCACGGAAACGTCCTCGAGTCGATTAAGGCCCGCTCACGAGGGCCGCTATTAGACTTCCGAAGTGCCGAATCTCTTCATCCACGAGGAGAAAGGAGCCGATCGAGCCAGGATTGCCACCGGAAACTGAAGTACAGGTGGCGTCTTTCTTCTCCGCTCATCATTGAGACGCAGGATCTCAGCTACCTGACGAGTAGCGCATCCTTGTCTTACGCTGCTGAGCGAAATCGATGGAGAGGATGAAGGAGCGGGCGAGGGGGACGATCGCATCGATGAATGCAATCATTAGAGCTGATTGTAGTTTACATACGGATGCTCTGCTACGACAGCTGCTCCGTAAACTCAGGAGAGCAGCCGCCGTGTATAGGGCCGGGAACGGGGGAAGAATTCGTGAAACATGATCATTCATCAGGAATGATTTCAACACATTTGACTTATTTAGACTCACTGCCATGCGATGACGTGGTGAGTATTACAATATGTGTTCCCCCGAGTCTTCATGGAACTTTTCGCGATGCGTTGGCTTTGCTCCATCCTTCGTTTTGCCTCCTCAAGCCCGAGCGAACGGCGCGTAGTTATGTTCTGAAAAGCGACATACTGGATGCGCCTGCAGACGACTCCCGTCAAGGTTTGCGACGGAAAACTCAAGAATGCGAGCCCCTGACGAAGAGTGTAGCCATCCGGAAGATCTTCGAGTCTTACAACGGAGTTCTCCATACTCTGGAACACCAACGCGACGCCTGAACTACGCAGGTCGCGAGTGCTCATTCGCAATGCACCTTCGGCAGGATGAATCATCGTAGGTCTAGGGAAGGATAGGCCAAGAGCAAGACTCATCCTCCCGTAGACCTGGTAGTTTGCTGGTACTGATTCGGATCAACTCAAAAAGAAACCCTCCCTGACAAATGGATGACTCGTGACGAGGCTTTGACGCCGCGGGAACCTAGTCGGATTTCAGAGCAAAATCTTCAGGGTGTCAAAACTCCAGGCTAGTCGCCTGTTTGTCTCTCCGCAGTCAGAGCGTGATTTTCTCGTCATTAGCAGCCGGACAATCGCAGACTGTGGTCTCGATGGACAGACTCAGACTCTGGGACTTCGATTGTGATCGCTGGTCCGAGCCCCCATCGATAAGGATCTTCGATATCGATTTCTTCGTGGGTCACCCATCCAAATATCTGTTTCTCCCGCTACAAGGTTGTCGAAGACCACGGAAAACCCAGGAGAAAACTCATGATTACCGCTAGCTCTCGATGAATTGTTATCAGTTTTGGAAAGCGCCACTCATTTTGACAGCTATTCCTTAGACCGATCCCTCAAATCCAGACGGCTCGCCGCGAGGATTGCATCCACTTGGCTTATCTGAGCATCGATCGAATACGCGATCAGACTTCTTCAGAAGTCCCGCTGAAGCCGTTCCGAAATACCAGTTCGAGTCTTGCAGGTCCGGAAGTTTCCTTCCTGATACACGACGTCTAGTTACAGAAAGTCCCGCTCGGGACAAACTTTTGTTGGCTGCTGCCAGAGAGACTTAGTGCTCCGTTCATCTTTGAGCCTTAAACTTTCGAAAGAGAACGTAAACTCCTTCGCTGTTCACCAGTAGATGACAACCGAAGATTACGAGCCTCAACTATTGAAACGGAGAGTTTCATCCTGTGGAGCTAGCAATACGGTTAGACGTAGCCAAGAATTAGTCTCGCATAAGTTCGGGAAACACTGGCTGAGAACGATGCGTCGAAACGCTTCCAAAGTTGGGGAAATCCCGAAGTGAGCCTGTGACAGCAGGCGGCGCGGCGGCTCAAACTCCCGGGATCGAGTGCTCTCGTCAGAGCGTGATTCGTCGTATTCTGATTATTATTAGCGACAAGGATGGATTCAGTAATACCAGCCAGCCGTATGAACGTTCTCCGCGAAATCCAGAAGTTGGCAGTGGAGTACCGGCTTGCTCTCAGTATAATCCTCAAGTCCGCTCGTCGATATCGAGCGCACCGTATTAGGCTGCGTCGGTGCAACACTCGTCCTAAGCAAGCATATGTACGACGGGGGTTCACTGTGAAACGTCAGACGATCCGCTCCATTTCGAGAATTGCTGTGTGATACGGATCTAATCGACACCTTCCGATCGTATGCTCGCGCGTATGATGTCTGCCAAGTTCCGAGCTCTGTTCTGTTTAAGCTCATTCGTGGCTGCGTCTGGTCAGAGTGTTCGAGTTTTCAGTCACTACACTCTGGCTGTACAACATGGAGCAGGGATCTGCTACGAGAATCCAAAGTGAGCGCTGTTTCCGCTGATTTTTCCCCCGATGATCAATTGTACAAGCCCGGCTAGGAATCGAATGTACAATCTGGATTCATTTCGAAAAATTATTTCGCTCTGCTTTCAGATGCGTGAGGAGCTCCGCGCTGCCCCAGTATCCGGAATGGACCATCCATGGCCTGTGGCCTTCGAACCTCGCATTCTGCGGCGGGAGCAAGTTCGATCTGAGAGAGTTGGGTGGAATGCTACCGACTCTGCGAGAGTCGTGGCCAAGTTTCACCGAGACCGGCGATTCAGCTTTCTGGCGGTATCAGTTCACCAAGCACGGCACGTGTGCCATCGGTAGTCCTCGAATCAGTGGCGTGCAAACTTATTTTGAGAGGAGTCTAGCTTTGTACGAAGATTTCTCGCAGAAGGTACTGAGAAAAATTGGAATCAGGGCCGGTATCGTTGATGTGTCGGAGGTTGAAGGGCTCATTCGGAGTCGGCTCGGTAAATCTGTCCAGATGCGCTGTCGCATCGTTGGTTCCCATTATGTACTGAGCGAAATCAAGATCTGCTATTCGAGATGGAATTTCGAGGTCATAGACTGTCCTCGGAAGTCGAACTGCGGGCGCCAAAGTATTTTCGTGGCACATGGATCCCGCGGGCCCGTCGGTATGGTCTAAGAATGATTTCAGAACGGGTATCACAGCGTCCTGAACTGAACATGTTCGTTACGAGCTTCCATCCCGAACGAATCAACAAGAATTAAAAGCACCTTTCCTTAGCAAGTCCCGTACTGGAGGCCTACTTGTTCAAATGTCAAGAGAATTACAGATTGCAGCAAGTCATGTTTGTCACTCCACGTGACCTGACCGCGACGAGTAGCAATGGATCCTCCGAGTCACGATAGGAGCCCTTGCATCCTATATATCACAAGTAGCCACATTTGAGAGGACGCTCATTACGGAAGCCCAGAGGCTGCTATTGGTCGAGGAAAAGGGCACAGGTGTCGGATATTCTCATCCCTACCCTGAGAACTGAGCTTCGAGCAGCATCGACGAAGCCGCTCGAATGTCGTTTCCTCGAATTGCCTAATCTACCGTATTAGGAGAAGGATGGGGCTGTATTCCGGAGGATTGAGGCGCAGTGTTGACTTCCTTGCATCGAAACCGATGAAATTCCGAGTCTGGCTGATCTCGTCCTCGTGTCCGAGTCGTCAGAGAACTTCCGAGGAGGGAACTCAGTGCTTCACCATGGGGGAATTCCAACCATTTGGGCTCAGTGTACGTGGAGTACCGCAGGTGTGAGCACAGGGTGATTTGCGTCGTAATCTTTTTCGAATAAGTGAACTTCACTCAAAACAGTCATCGCGCCAGTCCTTCGAGACCGAGCTGGCGGTCCCGCGGAGAGCTTCAAATATGTTCCAGAGGTCATTCTACTCTCATTTTGCTCCCTGGTAACCGCGCCGCACGCCTGAACAGCATAGTGACCTGTACGGGGCTTCTCGCCCAACAGCGAATCTCTACATCCCGCTCGTTCACTTCCATCGAGCGGCCGCGGTCAGTCTTCCCGCATACCGGAAAAACTACGCTCCCATCCTTTGCTCTCTCACTGATTGCACATATCATCCCGTCGGAAAATGAAACTTTCCAAAAGTTTTTAATTTGTCCAGGCCGACCTTTGTAGCGACCCGCGCTCGGACACGCTTTCTACGACGCAGAGACGGACGGACAAACAAAAAACAATCAGACGTAAGGAGCGACTCAAGTTCTCGGCGGAGAGCAAACTCGAACGAATATTCTCCCGGAAGCATCGCTATCATCCCTCTCCCATCGGTCGTGGTCATCCCGGGAATCTCGAGCTCAGTTTTCCCATAATCGGGGAAATTCGACGCTAGAATTTTCTCTCAAAGGGCAGATTCAAAGCGAGAGCAGAATAATTGAGCCAGAGGCCATCGCGAGAAGAAATGCTCCCGAGAGTAGAGACGTTTCCTTCTTCGCGGCTATCCACGAATACCTACTCCTTTGAGCGAGCCGGGCGGAGTAATGGCCACGACGCGGACGGCCGCGAGCTCCGGGTCGGGGAGCTTACGAGGAGTAATCTGGGTGCATTGGAACGATGCAGGTGCGAAGTCGCTCCCGGCATGTAATCACATGAGTACTAGTGCAAGTTTTAACTGGGATCTATGGATTAGATCACACCGTGAGTGTCAGGGACTACTCTGCGAAGTTTTGCCACGGATCGGTGGATATTGGAAGACGCGGGAGACCGCGGGCAGTGTTTTCAGCTTGTTTGGCAGAAAGCGGATGCCAAGATGGCTGACCCTTTCCGCTCCTTAAACATGCGGAGCCTACCGGCGGAGTTCGTGGAGGGAAAGAATGGAGGATGTTCAACTCAATGGTTCGCAAAATCCAACTACTTCCCCCATTATGAGGCTAGGCTCATTTTGGACTCGTTGATCGAGGCATTCGGGATGACGAAAAGTCTCCCGGCCGCAGCGTTGTCGAACGAGCCCAACGAGTCCACGACTTGTGGGCTTGAACGAATTGATGGAACTGGCATCTCGAACAATCGCGCAGCCTCTTCGTGTGCCGATCCGCGACCCGTTCGAGAAATCCGAGGAAGGTTTCGTCGATGAATACAATACTAGACAGTTCGAGATGCTTCCGGCTCATGCTTAGTTTACGGACCCCGTCGTCGATAGAGATTTTTGTCTTCTGCTCGGAAGCTTTGTGAATGATGCACCAGCTGACGGCTTTGGAAACTTCTCGATGAAAAATGTAGCATTCCCACCGTATGTATGTACGTGTGCTCACGATTTCCACATCTCCGCCTTGTCACTTCTCCGGACAGGGATGGGAGTCATGTCTTCCCGTCAATGACCGCGGCTGTTTCTCTTCTGTCACCATGATCGTCGAGAATGACAGGGAGACGATCGAAATCCAACGAGGGTCCTCGTTTACTCGCTTCGTCGGCAAACAGTATGCACGATTCTCTTCGTCTCTCAAATCATTCAGTTGATAGACTTGGCCGCTCGGGAGATCAAGATATCCGGCCATTGACGTGTCGCTTGAGCTGTCGATCCCGTCGGGTAGTCTGAGGTATTCATTACATCCGCAACCCGGATCGAGCTCGGTTCATGCCCGATTTTCTCTCTAGATGGCCGGCTCGCTCCCTTTGGTAGTTTTTGGGGTCGAAAAATGTTGTTTTCAAGGAAACCGATGATTCCTTCGTCGACCGATTGCTAACAGCGATCAGCAGTCAAGTTCTTATCGGCTGTCTTCATTTTCCACCGGAGGACTGGGCAGGCAAAACTCTAAAATTACGCCTCCGACTCTGTTCCGGATCAAGCCGGAGGATCGGTGGCTGGAGAAATGGCAGCTCATGAGGGCATCGAGGTCCCTCCGTGGGCCATCTGTGGGTCATTCTTATCGAGCTACTTAGTATGCACCCTTCTAATTATAAGTTCGTTGATTGCCATTTATGGCTCCCACACGCCCCTGAAGGGAATCTCAGCGAAGGGTCGCCTCGAATCGCTACCACTCTCAGCTGCCAACGGTTTTCAGATGTCATCCATCGAAAAATCTCTCGAGGGAGAAATATGCGTGAAACGCTGAGAGGACAGTCGCCCCTGGTCGAGATTTGGAAATCCGTTCTCCAGCTGCTTCCCCGTGTTTTCTCTACGGACGAGAGCGGCTCCTTCGCTTCGGAGCAGGAAAACCTATCCTGCCCCCAACAAGAGCAACGAGACCCCAACTTGTTGGAGCTCCAAAACATTGGTCTGCGCCTTCGCCAGGTATAAGAATTGGCTCTGTTGAACCGAATTACTGAGAACGCACGACCAAACGGGATCTCCCGGGGACCTACGCGCTCATATTCGACGCATGTTTAGTATCGCACTGGCGAGATGGCTTCGTTCCAGCCTGTGAGAAGAAGGCCCACGTGGCATGCGTATTAGCCCAGATGAGCCTCAGAGATCATACCCACAAGCGCCGCGCAGAAAGCGCAATCGCAGAACGATATGGACCGTAGTCTCGGTCTTCCTCAAGCTGTCTTCGAGAGCAATACCTGATCGTTGTTGGAAGTCCTTGGGGGACAACAAATGCAAGCCACGTGAGTCACTCTTCAACGACGCGACGTCGGTCCGACAATTATTAAAAATAATTCCTCGAAATTGAAGAGATTCTCCCGCTTACGTGCCCTTGACACCGTAATATCACTGAAGCTTGTCATGGCTCTACCGCTTTGCTGCGTGAAAAGATAATCTCCGATGCTTCGGTCATCCACCGAAAGCCGGATTGGGCCCGAGAGAACAAAAGGAGATTAGCGCTCTTCCCTAGCATCTATCGGGAAAGGATCAAGCATGGCTGTGTCCATTATTCTCCCGGGAAAAATCTGCGGGACTCCGAATATGTCGAATATATTGAATATTCGATTAATATTCGTTGGGATTTCAAGACATTTCAGCATTCTAATCGACTGAAGAGTCTCCCGGACTCAGGGTTTCCCGGATAACTGCGGGTTCTGAATGGCGAATCATTTGCGACAAAGGTCTTAGAAAGGAACGCGCCGCAGTTTCCCACCGTTTGAGCGCGATCGACCATGCTCAGTTTTTAGCGTAGAACTACGCTATAGCCCTCGGTAACGGGCACCATTTTCAATGGGGAGTATTGGGGGGCCAAAGCTCGAAAAAATTCGAATCTTGGAGATAGCATGCGTATGTGCTGGGGTCGTCTGCTAGAGGCTTACGCATTTTTTCTATGCGAGTCACCTGTGTAACAAACTTGTCGAGCTTATTTCTCTGAAACAGAGCGTTTGACAATGAAAATGGTGATGGCTGAATATGTCCGGCTGAGAATGAGGCACCGCTCATGCTACTCAATTTCCCCCTTATCTTGATTATTTCATAAAATACAGGCCAAGAAGTAGGCTCGTTCTCGCAGAACGTCGGAACGAAGACTCGGAGGCTGAAAAAACTGAGGGCAAGAAACCCTCAGCATACCTTGATTAGTCCTAATCAACTGTTCTGGAAACGCTATGTCGATTGATGGATCCAGAAATTCCCTTTTTCTGATTTTAAACATATATTTGGCGGAGGATCTCTCCTCCGCTAGAGATGGATCTATTTCTTCAGGATCGCCTCAGTTTTGCTAAATTAATCGTTGAAACTTTCCTCAATTCTCCACCCTGCGACGATGTTGAAGACAACTAACACCTCCGGTTGAGGTTGTATAATGACAGCGGAAAACGATGTGCGCGCGTTCTTCATTACATATCTCCTCTTATGAGAATGGACTCTCGTCGTTCATTCTAGCCTTGGCTACTACATTCGTGCGTTTCCTTTCCTCATTGGTCGATGTCGATGGTCGTGGAAGGACACCGGCGGAGAACCTTCTGACTAGCAAGCTAAGGATGCCGGACTCCGTGAAGAAAAAGAACGAGTTGCGCGTAACACATCGTCAGCCATAATCCCGACATAAGAAAACGAACAGTGTTCAGACAAGCGATACGAAGCAGATTCCCGTGACAAACAAGGGCGAGAAGTCGTAGTTCAGTTCAACCGAAGTGGTCCTCAGGAAATCACCTATCAGGCAGGACGCAACGTGGTGCGAAGAGAATCTAGCCACGGCGGGCCGTACGGCTTAGCGGACGATTGGGAGAGAGTGGTTCACCCAACGATAAACTTTTTAGACGGTGCTGTCGTCCTGTCGCAGCATTGTGAATGAATGAACGTG